GCTAATTACAATGAATACAACTACCACTCTACTCACCACCCATTACTGTAAACAACATGTCATATCTCTCTAACTCACCTATTCACACATACTCTCTCTCTCCCTTCCTATTACTTGTTATACTCGTACTCCCCTTGTTACAATTCGTTCTTCGTTTCTGTTACAGTTATAACATTTACGTTACGTCAATGCATAACTACACATAAATACTATACCTAATCTAAAATCAAATTTGTTAAGTTTGAATATTTTTTTATAAAAAAATAATAACAACAACAATAAAAAGAAGCCGAAAAAATACTTTAAAAACAAAGATTTTATATAAAAAATATGAAGGCTAACCGACAAAAGAAATTTATTAACAAAAAAAAATACAATACAAAACTTGTTTTTTTACATTTGTTTAAAGAAAAAAACAAACAACAACAACTTAAACTAAGTTTAAATTAAATTTGTATTTTACATAACAACAACAAAAAAAAACAAAACGAAAGAGAAATAAAAAAAATAAAACAATTAACAATGCCTGTAACTTCTAAACTATCTCTTAAAAACAAGTCTCTAAATCTTTCTCTCAAAAAATATGAAAAAAATACAAAAAAAATAAAATAAATACAAGGAAACAAGAAAATACAAAAAAAATATGAACCCAAGAAAGAAACCCAAAAAAAACAAAACAAACAACAAAAATGCACAATAAACTTTAATATTATAACTCAAAAACCAAAAACAAAAAAAAAAATAAGAACTACAACAAACAAAAAATTCCCTACCAATCATAAGTTTCTCTCTCAGACACACAAAAACTCTCTCTCATTACTCATAAGTTTTTCTCACACATCTCATTGCCATTAACAACTCTCTCTCCAACCCCCTCCTTCAAACAAACAAACAGCATATTATTGTATTTATAATTTTTAATATACAAAATAACAACAACAAAAAATAAATTTAATAAAAATACAAAAAAACTTAATTCGTAAATAATACAAAATAATGTAAAAATAACAACAAAAAAAAAAAACAAACAAAAGTTAAACCAGATAATTATTAAAGCGAAATTTTTTCACACTTTAGCTTAATAAATTGTAAAATAAAACCAAAAAAAACCAACAACAACAAAGAAAACTGAGAAATAAAATGAAATTTAATTGAATTTGTTATGCAAATGGACAACAAAAATGTTTTATTTTGATGGGGAAGAATTTAAGGGGCAAAAAATGGAGGAAAATTTAAGCGAAAGAGAAGAAGGTAAGTTATGGAGCTCCGAGAGTCCTTGTAGAGATCTTTAGAGCGTGACTACAGGCTCAAAAAATATTTGGAGCGAGCAGAAGTTGCATAGAGATTTTTTAGATGAGCTGAACTTCAGAGTGTACCTCAAAAGGTGGGCTACAAGCTGAGAGAATATGTAACGCTAAGCTCATGTCTCAGATATTCATTATAAGTCCGTTGAAGGCACAGGTAGTCTTTAAAAGGGGAGATAACGATTCAGGTTGCCTTTATAATTCGATTAAGGCTCAAAAGGCTGAAGCCTCTGAAAGCCTTTACACGTGAGCCTAAGGCCATTCCAGGCGACATAGAGCTTAGGGGAAGCCAGTAAAGGTAAGCTAATCACTTAAGTAGGTTTTACGGTATCGCTGAAGACTCAGATATCAGGTAGTCATCATAAGCCAATAGAAGACTCGAAGGGTCGTTCCACAACATACTGAAGACTTAGGGGTAGTTATAGGCTTAGATAAAATGTATAATTCGATTAAGGCCCAAACTGACATTATAGCGGCTTTATAGGATCACTGAAGGCTCTGAGAGGCTTTACATGTCAGCCTCTCAGGCTATCTGTAGCTCAGGCGAAGCCATTAAAGGTAAGCTGAATACTTATGTAATCAGCTTACCTTAGGATCGCTGAAAAGTAGTCTTTATAAAACATAAGAATACTCAACTTACAAGCTTAGGTAGATTTCACAGGATCGCTGACGACACAGGTAGTCATCATAAGCCAATAGAAGACTCAAGCCTATAGACACTCAAAGGGTCCTTCCAAAATTTTCTATAGACTTGTTGAATACTCAAAGATAAGCTAAGAACTTAGGTAGGTTTTATAGGATCGCTGAAGACTTAGCTAGACTTCATAAATGATAAGAAGGCCAGACGAGCTTTATAGAGTTTTCGTAGACGAGTAAAATCTCAAAAGTTTGTAAAAGGGAAGCTGTAGGCTGAGAGTCAACATATTATTAATTATAATAGAGCATGGATTGTATTTATTATTTATATCTGGGCCTGATGCTCAAACGGAATCTTCATAGATGAGATATAGTCTCTTAGAGTCCCTGTAGGTAATCTGAAGCGAAAATGGGGTCTATATGGATTTGCTGAAGCCCCTGAGAGTCCCTGTAGATGTTCTGGAGCTCATATGCGATCTTCATAGATGAGTTGAGTGGGAGTCCTTATAAGTGATATGAATCTAGGTAAGCGGAAGTCTCTGAGAGCCCACACGGGTGATCTAAAACTCAAAGGAGATCTTAATAGATTACCTGAAGTCTCTAAGAGCTTAAAGACGATCTTTATAAATGAATTGAAGTAAGCTGAACCCTCTGAGAGTCCTTAGAGGTGATCTTAAACTCAAAGGAGATATTGATCTAAAATTCAAAGAATAACTTTATAGGTGATCTGAAGTCTCTGATAATGCTTATAGACACTCGAATGGTTTAGATAATAATAATTACAAGCGAACAAATGATTCACAAAGTCGTTATTGGGCGAACTAACAGGTAGTCTTTTAAAATGACCTGAATGCTCAGGTAGGGAATATATGTTTATTAAAGGTTCACTAGGTCGTCGAAGAGGTGTTCATTGACGCACTGAAGGCTCCATAGCCTATAAAAGGATCCAGAAGCCTTTAGAGGCGATTCAAAGGACTTTAGACTGTAAATAAAAGGATCCAGAAGCCTTTATAAGGGCTTTTAGAGGCGATTATTGGCCCAGGAGGAGTAATTAAATGCTTATCTAGGTATTATATGAGAACTGTGTATTAAAGGTTCAAGGTGTCATTAATGAGATCTTTATAGGTGTGATGAAGCCTCCAATATTCGTTACAGGAGAACTGAAACTTCAGGTAGATAATACAGCTTAACTGAAGGCTCAAATAGTTATTTCAAATGTGCTGAAGGTTCAGATAGCTTTTAAAACAGCGTTAGAGGATCGAGTAGTCGTTATAGAGGACTTTATAGACGCGCTGAAGGCCCTGGTTGAAGATACAGATAGACGTTATACGTGTATTGAAGGTTCAAGGAGCCATTAACGAAGTTTTTAATAGGTGCGCTGAAGCCACAAGTATTTTTTACAGGCGAACTGAAGGTTCAGGTAGACATCATAACGTTACTGAAGGCTTAATTAGTTCTTTGAAGTGATCTGAACATACAGATAGTTTTTATAGCAGCCGTAGAGCCTCGAGTAGTCGCTATAGAGACCTTTATAGGTGCGCTGGAGGCTCTGCCATTCTTTATAAGTGAGGTAAAGGTCAGAGATTTGTCAAAGACAAACTGAAGTCTTTATACGCGCGCAGAAGGTTCAAAAGGTATTTAAAGGTGGATTGAAGGATCATGAAGAATTTATAGAGTATCTGAAATAGAGCTGAAGGCTTCAGTAGACTTTAGAAGGGGGCTGAAAGTTCAGAAAGTCTTTAAAATAGTGTTGAATCTACAAGCAATCAAATTTGGGCGAACAGAAGACTCTATCATTTTTTATAAATGAGTTGATGATACGGAGGGTCTGTATAGACAAATTGAAGTCTTTATATGTGTAATTAGGGCTCAGGAAGAGTTGATAAACGAGTTAATGCTCAGAAGGATTTTTGAAAAGCGAGCCGAATGGTCATTGAGAATACGAACTGAAAGTCGGAGGGGGTACTTAAAAGGCGAGCGGAAGGCTCAGGTTGTCTTTACATATGATCCTATGATGAGTTAAAGACTTTATAATGAGCATTATAGGTGCGCATAAAGCTCTGGTATTCCTATTAAGAGAGCTGGAGACTTAGAGATTCTTTATAGACTATCTGAAGTCGTCATGTAGAATTGATAAACGACTTAAAGCTCAGAAGGAGTCGTTAAAGGCAAATTGAAGGCTCAGGGAATTTTTATAACTAAAATTAAAAAATATATGATGCTGAAGTTCAGTTAGCCTTTACGAGTGAATTGAAGTCTCAGGTAGCCTTCATAAACAATGAAAAATATATATTTAAAAAATTCACACCTTGGATGGTTCCTTGCAAAAATGTATTTCAAAAATTCACGCCTAAGGATAGACCATGAAAAATATATTTAAAAATTCCCCTCTTAAATATACATCAAAAATATTGAAAATTATTTTTAATAAAATTCAACATATTTTTAATTATAATAAAACATAGATAGTATTTTTTATTTATATCTGGAATTTCTTTTTTTATATAAAGTTGCTTACATGGTAAATAAAATTATGTATATATAGATATTTATATTTTTATATAGTAATATGTTTATAGTATGTATGTGTATTTATAAAAAGCAGGGAATGTTTTTCTCTTGAAAATTGTTCATAAAATAATTTTTTTCTTAAAAAAAATTTTTCAATTTTTTTAAATAATTTTTAATTAATTTTTTTAAATAAAAAAATTGCACTTAAATCCAATTAAAATAACTTTTAAGAAATAAAAGCTTTTTTAATGTAGTTTCTTTTGGAAAAAATAGAAAATATGGCCTTAAAAGATATTTTCCGTATTTTTTCTCTCTTTCACTCCTCTTCCTCTCTGTGACTATAATTTTTAATATAAAATTTTGATAAGAACAAAAAAATAATAATTTTTTTCAGCTGAGAGCTAAATATTTTAAAAAATATTTAAAGCATAGCAAAAACAATGGTAATATTTATAAATATATGTATATATGTATTATATTATATATAGACGAAAAAATATATGTTAAACTTAAAACTAAAAAAATTATTTAATTAATTAAAATTAAAATTTAATTGACATCTCTTTTGTCACGTTGACTAATTTGAGCCATGGTTATATATTGGCGTACCAAACGCGATATTTCATGGGCCTGTTCGGTTTGGACTCGTATGACACGCTGCTGCATTAAATTGCCCACTTTCATGTCCAGAAACAGGGCACCATCCTCGGAGCGGACCTATAGAGAAAATTAGAAAAAATAAATAAATTTTCTGAATAAGACTTGATTTCCTCTGTGCAACCCACCTTCCGTGTCGATATCACCTCCATAAATGGCCAATGCTGCATTGTCTCATGTGTATTGGGGTCCAGGAACAACACCCCACGACGATTCAATGCCAATATCAAATCTCTCCACATCGGACTATCATCAACATGGGGACCCTCTTCGGCCCAAATACGTTTCACCGCGAAGAAACTACTGCCGAATAGAGGCCATGCCGATAGGACATTTAAAAATTGTGCCTTCACCTGACCGGGACTTAGATTAGCGATTTGTGGCCAAGCCGATTGAACCAAACCCACCCACTGGGCGGGGCGTATTTCTCTAATACCTAAAGCGGGTTTAGGTAATAGGAATTTAATTTCCTTCATGGCTGGTACATGACTCAAATCGGCTGCCCGATGCAATAAGGCCGCAATGCGTGCCATGTCCCTTACCACTTCGGGAGGTGGCACTCCATTACCAGGCAATTCCAGCAGCAAACCTTCCAAATAATCAGGAGCCACCTGATTGAAAAGAACCTCAACATACAAAGGCGTCGGAGCGGGATCTCTCTTCAATGGGAAATGCCACACCGAACGACAGAATATCAAATAGAAAGGCTGGCCTGATTTCAGTAGTTCCGTGGTAACATCCAGAATATATTCATCGGCAGCCAGTGGCATGGTAAAGGCATCACCCTGTACAATGCAATACAGCGAGAATTCCTGTTGCTCCGTTTCCGATTCAATACCCAAAAGGGCACAAAGTTCAGCAATAACATCCGCCACCACTGTGGAACAACGGGTATTTACCACACGTTCCGCCCCACCGGGCAAACGATAGATTTGTCTTCTTGCCGAACGTCCAGCCGAGACGGCTGTAACCTCTTCCACACTTGGGACATTTTTACGACCACCACATCGTGCGGTCTTGCGAAGATTTGTCAAACACACAGCTGCTGTACCATGACACGAACGACGACGATCCGAAGCGGCAGATGTTAAGTGTTCGAGTAGATATGGCCTCAACGCATCCGAACAGCCGAAATATGCCGCCAAAATACTGAGTAAACGCCAACCACGTTGTGCTGAATCGTGACAGGGTGAACGATTGGCGGTCGTCTGTTTCATTAACTGGCAATAGACTTCGTCGCGTAATGCCAAATATTTGTGACAATGCTGGAATAAGAATAATTAATAAAATTAATAGCTGAAAACCTTCGGATAACTCTTAAAAACTCTGAATCCCTAACTCCCTGGAAAAAAGTCAATTTCGACTTCAGCAGGTCTATAAAACTCTTTAAACATAGAATACGACTTTAATGACTTCTTCAGCACCCTTCATTTCGCCATTAAATTAATGCTACTACCTATTCATAGCTCCCTCAGATCATCGGCTCGCCTATAAAGGCCCCTGAGCCTTCAGCTGGCTTACAAATATTTCATCTGAGCTTTAGCTTGCCAACAAAGTCTTCCTGAGCCTTCATTTCGTCATTAAATATTACATATGATCTTCAGTTGACCTATAACGGCTTCCTGAGACTTCAGTTCCCCTTGTCAAAGCTTCCTCAGAACATCGGCTAGCCCATAAGGCTTACTCTGTTCTTCCGCACGACAAAAAAAAGACTCCTTAAGCCTTTAGCTCACCTGTAGAACCCAAATGAGCCTTCAATTAGCCTATAAATGCATTCTGAAACTTCAGATCGCCAGTAAAGATTCTCTCTCAGCTTCAGTACACTTATAAAACATCTCCGAACATTCAGCTTTCATTAAAAGAACCCATCGAAGCTTCAGCTAATCTATAAAGGCTTCCTGAACGTTCAACAATCCTATAAATACCTCCTCACTGCTTCGACTCCCCTCTTAAGGCTTCTTGAGCCTTCAGCTCACTTATAAAACCCAACTAGGCCTTCAGAAAGTTAACAAAGACTTCCTAAAACTTCAGCTCGCTATTAATGTATGCCCCTGAATATTTGCTCGTTTTTAAAGACTTCCTAAGCCTTCATGGCGACTATACTGTGACCATCTGAGGTCCATCATGCCTATTTCAACTCCTTTGAACCTACATTATACTTATAAGGACTCTTTCATAGTTCCGGTTCAGCTATATAGACTCATACAGGTTTCACTACGTCTTTAATGACCCTCTCTGAGCTTCAGTTCCCTTGTAAATACTTCTGAAGACTTTAGCTCGCCACAGAGTCTTCAGTTATCTTATAAAAATTTCCAGAGCTTCCCTGCAAGTCTTGTACAGCTCGCCTATCTCGTATTTCTAAACCTTCAGCTCCAGTAATGATTCCTCGAGGTTTCTGTTCTCTTATAAAGACTACCTGTATCGTTATCTCACCTGTAGCGACTACCTAGACCTTCAGTAAACCTATACAAACTACCTGAGCCTCAACACTCTTCAAATACTCCAGTAGCGACTCCCTTAGGCTTCAGTTCTTTATAAAGACTACCTGAACCACCTCACCTTACCTTTACTGACTACCTAAGCCTTAAGAAGATCTATATAAACTACCTACGAACCAGCATGCCCGTTAAGGCGATTCATTGAGCCACCAGCTCGCTTATGAAGACTGCTTGACCCCTCAGTTTTTCTAAAAGCTACCAGACTTTTAGCATGACTATACATCATCCCATTAACAATTTTTGATCATTCGGCTCACTTCTACAGATTCCGTATACATTCTGCTAACCACTAAGTACACCCTCCGTGCCTTAGATCGTCTATATAAAATTCCCAAGCTTTCAGCTCGCCTCTAAATGCTATCAGAAGCTTTAGCTCACATATAACCACTGCCTTGGTCCTTCCTCTTGACTATAAAGACTCCCTGAGACTTTATGTTATATATATATAAACTTCCATGGCTCTCCACTTGCGAATTATTGAACCCTCATTTCCTCCAGAAGTAATCTCTGAGCCCTCATCTGGCTTATAAAAACTTTCTGACATTTTCAATTATCTTTCCAATATTTCTTTTGTCTCTCCCCTACTTACCATTAGCACCGTATAAACACATTTAACTTCTGTTAGATCCGGATCCATGGGTATATCGCCACAATAGCACAATATGCATTCAAAACATTCCAAGGCCAGGGGTGCCAAATCGTTGGGCAAACGTAGCAGAGGTGTGCGTATTGGTACACCCTGCCATTTGACCAATTCGGCATAAGAACGATTTGAGGAACGCTCCGAGGAGTCACGGCCATGGGAACGGGAATCGTGGATTTGACTGGAAGAGAAAAAACAAATTAGAGTATTTATAGATCCTCTCTCCCTCCCTCTCTTGAGGGAGAAAATACTTACTCATTTCTAAAATGTTGCATGGCAAATTGTAACAAAGAGTAACGAGTCACCGATGGCGAGGTCGAACCGCCACCATTATGTTGATCCTCTGCCATGTAGTTGGCATCCAAATTCGAGGGTTGTAAATGTCCAGGAGGCTGCTGATCCCTTGGATGCATGCCAGCTGCTCCATGATATTGTTGACTGGATAGCTTACGTCCGGTATGTAAATAACTTTGTTGCTTGGCATATTGCTGATGATGTTCACCGCCCCCACCATAGTGATCGCGTTCGATTAGCCTTTCATCCTCGATTTCATTGTGACCGTTGTAGTGATGACCACGTTCTCCGGCCACTGGCGAATGATGATGATCCATGGCATCATGCATGCCGTGCATCATGGATCGGGAATGCATCTCAGAGCGGGAATGTTGTTCAGCACGAGAGCCCTGCTCACCACGGCCACCATGGGGACTGTGATGCATATGATGGGTCTCATCATACGATCCAGCCATCATGGGTGAGGATGTGTTGCGCATTTGTTGTTGTTGCTGCTGCTGACCAGCGGATCCTTGATGCCCGTTATTGCCGGCGGCTTCACGATGATTCGATTGTCGAGATTCCAAACGTTCAATGGGGACATTCAGTGTTTGCGCCGCAGCCCGTACACCCGATGACAAGGTTGAAGCTTTCGATTGAGTCTGCAATGAAATTGAATATGAAACGGTATATTTAAATATGGTCATATGAAATCTGTTCGGAATTGTTGCGAATTGTAACAATTGTCATTTTTACAATTGTTAAACATATTTCGCCTGTCAGTGATGTGAAAGTGTGAGGCTACCGCCACCACCCCAATGCCGAATGTTGCATATTAAATAGCTAACCAGTTGGCTGGCCAAAAGGCCATGATAATGGCCTAGGTAATTGCCAAGTTATGTTCAAAATCAGAGATAAGTGTTATGTCCGCATGTTCGATTTTTTGTTATTGGAAAAACAAAGCCAAAATGTTTTGAACCTCCACTCCACATTTCTGCGAATGCCAAATAAAACATTTTTGACCGCGAAATGTTAATTGCCCCAAACATTTGTGGCTAAAAATCGCTGCATGTTGCAGCAATTGGCAAATCACCGGACCATTGGTAATTACAAATGTTCGGCAAATGTATGGCTTTCCATGTTGTTATCGATTACGGTCTATTTATCCAAACCCCCAGACCATGTAATGACACCTGCTGTTATGTTTTCTTTGTTAACCCAGCCATCGTCTTCTTCTTCTTTTTCTTTGTCTATTGAAATTGTATAAGTGGTGCGACTGCAATCCAATGCTACCCAGCCTATAAATTTCATTGTGACAGCCTGACATCTTTAATGGATTAGATAAATAACAAAGAATTTGTCTCATAGCTTTAAAGAGATTCGAAATTCCAGGGAAATTTGTGTGAAGAGGAGGGGGGCAAAGAAGCAGAAGAAAACTATTGTCTGTGAATTTCGAACCTGTTGAAAGCCTACACCACAACTAAAATGAGATAGAGGTGGACGAAAGGCGAAAAAAATACATAGAAATCTTATTTAACCACCTGGAAATGATTATGGAGGCTGACCACCCCAGTTCGCCCCTAAGTATTTCCCATATCTTCAGCTAGCCTTCATCCGAAGCAGTAAATTTCCCTAAAAAAAATGATTTTGAGCTTCAGCTCGTCAAGCTGAACCTACCCTCTCAAACCGCAGTTCATCCTTAAAAATACCATATGTGTCACAGCTCGCCTATAAACACTTCTATAACGAGTCTTCAGCCGACTTCTAAAGGGTACCCAGTCATACAGGTGGCTTAAGAACACTACCCGAGCTTCCAGTTTGCTTAACAAGACTTCCTAAGCCCCTATAAATACACCCTAAACCTTCGGTTCATCCTAAAAAACTAAATCCACTTTCCGGTTTACCTATAAAAACTCCTAAATAACTTCATGGACCTTCAGGTACCTAAACCTTTAACTCGCCCATGAAAACTATCTGATCCATGATCCTGCTTTTGGAACATCGTTTTCACTTTTATGGTAAGCTTCTTCGTACCTATAAAGTTTTTTCTGGACCTTCCGAACACAAATAAACCATTCTTGCCTTTATATCGCCTTTAACGTCCCTCACAGTACTTCTGCCTGCTCATAAAGACCCCGTAAGTCATAAGATTGCGCATAAGCAACTACCTGTATCTTCCAGTTTCCAGTAAAGACTACCTGAGACTTCAGATCCCCTCCGAACGATATATCCGATCTTAAAATTGCACACAAGAATTGCCTAAGCATTCAGCTCGCCGTTAAAAGACTCTCACTGGATTTTAGCCCAGTAATATCCTGAGCCCTCAGTTTTATACCTGCACCTTTAATTTACCTATAAAGACTACCTGAGGCTTCAACTACCATTCAGCTCCACCCCGAAGCCTTCATATTGTATTTAAAGGCCACCATTGAGGTTTAGCTCGCTTATAAAAGTCCCTTAACAATCAGCTTTCATAAAAACAACTATAGATACTCCCTCGGAGTAGCTCAGTAGCTCAGATTTGAAGGCTCCATCTGAGATATAGCTTGTTTGCGAAGTCTCTCTCAGCTTTAAATTCGTTTTAAGCTGAGCAGGAAATCATTATAGGCTTTCTGAGGGGCCAGGGAGTCTTTGTGAGCTACCTGAAACCCAGAGGGAGCCTCTTTTAGAGCTCAATAGACTGAGTGATTTTTTATGGTAGCTCTGGAAATCTGTGTAGGCAAATTCAAGCGAAGAAGGATATTTTAAAGTTAAGCAGGGTTTCAAAGAGCTGCTGCAGGTAGCATGAAAAGTGACTAATTTTTGTATATACATGCAGAGGTTTCAAGGAGTATTGAATGGTTTCAGGGATCATGTATGGACAACCTAAAGCGTTGAAGGAGTCCTTATAAGCGTGCTGAAGGCTTCTCAATATCAGAGGGATATTTTTAAGACATACAAAAGTTTGCGTTCATGGTTTAGCTAAAGGTCCCGAACTTCAAGCCAACCTGAAACCCAGAGGCAGTCTTTATAAGGCTCCGGAAATCTTTATTGGCAAATTCAAGTTCAGAAGGAGATTTTGGCCTTGTTCACGTAGCGAACAGGGATTTTCGTTTCATAAAAAAGTGAATATATTGCTGTGGGGTCTCTTGTGTATGAGAGAGAGAGAGAGAGCGATCCTGTGTGGACAACCTGGAGCTCAAAGAGAGTCTTTTTAAGCTTCTTGGAGATTCAGGATTTTTTTATAGGATAAATTAAGATTAGCTAAACTTTGCAGATTAGGTAGAGTTCCAGGCCTTCAGGTCAACCTGAAACACATAGACATACTTTATTAGTGCTCTAAAGTGGGTCCAGAAAGGTAATTTTTCAACCTCTAACCCAAAGGATGGGTGTATAAGTTCACTGAAGACTCAGGGATTTTTTTATGTTCATCTTCAGAAGGCTCCTGAAATCTTTATAAGCAAATTCTAGCTCAGAAGGAAGGTTCAAAGGTAGTTTTTCAACGTCAAAGGTAGTTTTTCAACCTCAAACCCAAAGGATGGGTGTAGGAAATTTTAAAGAAATCTTTATAAGCAAATTCTAGCTCAGAAGGAAGGTTCAAAGGCCTTTGCAGGTAACATGAAAGGCGAAAAAATTTTTATAAAAGCTCTCAGGGGGTTCGATGATTTTTCAAAGACTCAGTAATCCTGTGTGGACAAACTGGACCTCAGGGAGAGTTTTTATAAGCGTGCTGAAGGCTCAGGGTTTTTTTATAGAAGAAATCATGATCAGATGGGCATTTTTAAGACGAAAATAATGTAGAGTATACCTCTTAAACCCAGAGAATGGCTTTATAAGTGCTCTAAAGACTAAAAGATTTTTGTGGCAAACTGATGACTCAATGGCAGGCATTCCGAGTTTCCATGGTACCATTTTTTTCTCAACATGAAACCTAGAAAATTTAAGCAAAGCTCAAAAGAAAATTTTAAAATTGAACAGGAGATTCAAATAGCCCTTGCTGGTAACATGAAAGCAGAATAGTTTTGTATACAGGTGTAGGTGCTTCGAAGGTCTTTATGTCCAACCTAAAACTAAAGCAGTATTTGTTTTATTTTTTTCAATAAATTATTGAAATTGAACATTGTGTGTGTTGCAAAACATGTGTTTAAATTTTAACAATAATTTGTATCTTTAAAGAATGAATTTATTTTCCGTATGGAATATGAATGCATTTTTGACACATTTCCGCAAGATTATCACGAATCTGTGTTGAGGTCATAAATCTGAACTTGTTTTTTTTCGAGATCTAGCATCTTCTCTTGATGAAAATCCAATGCAGCTACTATAAAGTTCAATGTGAAGAAAGTTTCTTGTTTAAATTTATTTCTGATCTCACACATAGGCAGGTGCGAACATGTTCTATTTTTTCGGCCAGAATATCGGACACACGTTCGCTGTGTGTGAGCCATAAATTTTTTTATGAGGTCATGGAAGATGGTCGCAGAATATCCACAAAAAAAAATAATGAAAAAAAAATTATCTAAAGTGTAATTAAATTCTATTTTTTGTTGTTGTTTTTTTTGTGGTTATGTGAAAGTCTAGAAAAAATAATATAATACTTCACGTACACTATTTCCAATCACAACAAAAATTAAAATGAATTAAAATAAAATACGACTACTAAATAAACTAAAAATCATTTCCATGGCCATGATAATTATAACAATGGCAATAATGATGATGATGAGCATGGCTATGATGAGCCGAGTGCCACAAATGTTTATTTATTCATTTGTATTTAATTTCAAAATTTTGCTAAGAGGCAGAGGAGGCAGTGACTGCCACTTTTACATTTGTATATCATCAGATTAAAAAATATGTTACTGTATTGCTTGGTTGGATGGTGTAATGACCGCTCACATGTATATTTTTGTAATTCACACACAATGACCAGCATGTGGAGTGATCATGATCATAGCCATTACCATCATCATCATCACGATGTTGGGTAGTCTGGTGTGTGGACTTGATCATCGCAGGCACACACATAAATTCCTGCTGGTTCATCTCCAGTCCAGACGTTTCTGTTTCTTTTTCTTTGGTTTTTTGAATTTTAATTTTTTATATTTCATTTTCCAATTTTTATATACGTTTTGTTATTTTGAACTCATGTATTTGTGGAGATGATTTCTGAAGACTTTCTTTTGATATTTTATTACCATTTTCAATTCAATTTTTAGTTGATTGTTTTAGTGTTTTACACTTCTTTTAGTTGTTGTTTTTATTTTATTTTTTTTCTTAAAAATGATTAATTTTCTGTTGTTATTTTTTTCGATCGAATGATAAACGTTGCAGATTGAACAATTAAAATGCCATAATTATGATTTTTTTTAAAATTATTGCAATGCATTTTCAGTAATTCCCCTCATCGAAAAAAATCAGCTAATCATTAAAAATTTGTTTTTTGTTTTTTGAAAGTTTTTACTTATGACTGGCTAATTGAAAATTGCATAGTTTATTGGGAGAGAGAAAAAATCGAAAAAAAAAAAACACTCAAGGCCTTGCCATAAAAATACCAAAATTGATGGTTGGTGGCCATTAGGGGGTTTATGGGTCATAAAAATGGGAAAAGATGTAACAACCCAAAATTAATTGCATAGTATTGCTACTGATGAATTTTCAAAAAATATAAAATCTACTACTA